CGTAGATTGCGGAGCGTTCTCATGAAAGCCGCTAAAAAAGGGCACGCCGTACCACATTTATTTAAGCAAGTAAAAAAAATTGTGACGGTGAAGGGGTGATAGGAGGATATAGGAAATTTGAATAGGCCAGGGCAGAACAGGAGATATCATAACTGTTTAGCACACGTTTGGTCAAAGGATTGGTTTCACTTGTCTCTTTGACGAGTTGTAATATGGTGCTACGAATGGTAAAACTCACTGACGATGCTGGCGAAACGTCTGGGAATGTACCACGTCCACTGTCCGACTTTGGAAATAATTATGCATAAAATGGACTCAGGACAAGGTGCGTTTCTCTAAGTCTTCCTACGAATATTACCAAGTTGCGAAAACAAGGTCAAACAACCTCTATACAACTAAAGGGGATTGCGACCACACAAAAGGCCACACCATCTTGTTCTTCCTACCTTCGATTAACTAGTCTACAATTGTATGCTCGATGAGTCATTCATTATGTACCATCTTTATGTTTGTCACAAATTATATATTTTGCCCTTGAAAATAGTATCGTTTTTGATTCTAGGAATTTTATCTTGACAGTAAAACAATTAACTTTGCTAGCCTTTAGCTGAGTGCATGAATTGACGTCAATCTTGGCGTGCATTTTTTTCTAGTCTTATTTTTCTTAAAACGGTATTTTTAAAAATCCTTACTTTACCAGCTACAATAATATTTCGAATTAATTCCAAATAAAGGCATCTTAATCTTAACCACTTTGTAGAAGTTCTGTGTGTTATTAGAAATGTATCCTTTCTTAATACTTGCGTACAATTCTATTTATTTTATACTTTCCATAAAATGACTATTTAACAATTTACTTTTCATCTAAAATCTCCTCTTCAGGTCCAATCAGAATGGGCCCACCTAGTTAGTCAATGTCGCGAATTGAATCGTGCCAAATTCAAGCCACGTCCATTTGAGACGAAGGCACTAGCTTCAACTCGTGTGAGCCAGATTAGCTGGGATCAAACCTCTTCTGAGCGCACACTCTGGTTGCGGAGCCAATTTTCCAAGGATTCAGATCCCAAAAAGACTCTCACTGAGGACCGAGACCAAGTAAGTCTTATAGCTAAAATGTCCAGAGAATTCTTAACCGAATTCACCATTTTCGGATTATCAGGAATCTCCATAGATAAGATTCGTAGGCGAAATGTTGATTTGGAAAAAATATTTTTTCCATTTCTGATGATAAGTTCATATTAGTCGTAGCATACAATTAATATTCCTAGCTTACCTAAACAATCTGCTTCAACTCACTTAAAAATAAGATTTCCTAACGTTTCTTTGGTGAACTAAAAAGTACGAAATAAACCTATTCAGTTCTATTCTGTGCTGACTCTAATTGCAAATTAAAATTGCACTGTTTCCTACATCTTGACCGACCTTCAACTTTATCTTGAGTCCGCTAATTCTGATGAGCCTGGAGATATGAGTTGTCAGAGTCATGCAAGCTAATTTAAGTAAAAGGTGAATTTCCCTCTACTTGAATTTAATGAGAAGCTGCAGAAGGATCTGGGTCTCCCTTAATAGCTTTGCTGGTTTATAATTTTTCTATTAAAGCCTACCTTCCATTAAAAAAGAATATTTGGACCAGATTAAACCATCATACGAATTCAATTATTCGCTCATAGCACCAGTTAGAATCTTTTGGGTTGGATGTTCACGATTGTTTTAGTTAGAAATGAATTGAATAAAGCAAACTCAAATAATCCAAATTTAAGAACTTAGTCACTCTTTGACGAGTTCGTATCTTGGTGCGGAGAATGGCAAGGCTCACTGATGATGCCGACTACGAGGCCG